GGGTAGTATTGGGTCATAGTCACGGCAATTCGGTGATGTTTTCGGCACCAAATCGCATATTTCCCGATAAAATATGGCAGATGGAAGTAAATAACGTCTACAAAGGTGATATTTCACAGTAATAAAGAAGTATTTGGTTCATAACTGGATCGTATGGGGTAGTATTGGGTAGTATTGGGTGGTATTGGGTAGTATTGGGTGGTATTGGGTAATTAGACGCGCCCATCAGCAGAGTGTACTGGACCTGTTTCATGACTTAATAAATGCGACTTGGACAAACAATTTGAAAAAGTTAAGATTCAAGTGATTTTAGTAACAAATCCATACCCCTATTGGCGTATAATTATAAATAATAGGCGAGTTTGTGTATTATACGCAAGTTATTGGTTTTCCCCGACCTGCTAACTGATCCAAGTCTAGCTATGCCCAAGCTAAGGGGAGATAACTCCAATTGAATTTTCGCGCCGCACCAAAATTTCGTCACACTTTTATACCATTGGAAGAACGGTGATTTTATTGTGCTTGTCCATGTTATAGAAATGGATACATGGTAGGAATTTTATCTTCAATATCCCTCGTCACTTTACTACAGTCTATATTACAAATATCATGGCGGAAACGCAAGGAGCGGAGATTGTGAAATATTGCAGAAGCGACAATTTCCTTATAAAACCGAGTACATCCATCAAAATTAGATACAAATGTTCAGTAATTATCCCTTAAAATAAGTATATATATATGCCCATCTGTCAAAACCGTTCTTGGTATGAAAAATGCTGTTGAAATCCCAAGGGGTAGTCTAGCGGTAAATCCAATATGGCGGACACCTCGCCTCGAAAACGTAAACAAATCCCACCTGTACCAGACAAAACTCGCTAGAAGGATATTGCATTAGCGGTTGTTTACCTATCATGTAAAGGTATCTGTTCTCTTTGTTTTCTGTATATATTTTAAACATTAAATGATGTATGTTTGTATAAATTTCGGTACTATTTACTTGTTTCTAAATGATTAAACTTTTAAATTAAGTTACTGTCACTCAGTCTTGACTTAGTTTACATACGCTGATACAGTTAGAAATTGAATAGACCTAAATTTAAATTTATTTCGAGTTTCAGTGTTGTCTGACATACAAAAACTATACAATGGTTGGTCTGTACATAGTTTACATTAAACATATCTAATTGATATGACATGCTTTTGTTTTTCAATATCATTTTTTTTTTTTTATATAAATAAAACTTGTCAGATCATACACCATGTACAAATACAATTTTTTGTTTTTAAATATTATTTTAATGATTTATCTGACTAAAACATATCAGATCATGTGTAATTACAATGAGTATGCTTGAAGACAAGTACCCTTCAGACTCCTGGGTAAGCAAATGCCACAATAAAAGGAGGGGCTGGTATATACATTAAGTACCCCAACTGAGATCAACAATCAGAAGCAATACCAACAGGCCTACATTGTTCAAACTACTAAGTTGAAGAAGACCTTATTCATGCTGCACACTCCATCAAAAACAAAATTGATAACACAACTCAAGTAGTATTCCTGACTGATGCCCTCTCTGTGCTACAAGCTTTGACAAACGACAAGCTTAACCTCAACTTGAACAAGCTTTATACACCATCAAAAGTCTGACAACAGTTCTACAGTGGATTCCTTCTCACTGTGGAGTTTGGGGTAATGAACAAGCCGATAAATTAGCAAAGAATGGTGCTGAACAATAACAGGAAGAAAATCCAGTCTGCTACACAGAGATGAAGACTATCATCAAATCTCTGTTCAACACCCATCAGCAACAAGACAGTTACCACCAACAAGATCTGACCAAACTACCATCTTCCGACAGGACACAACAGACTCAATCAACATCTATACAAAGTCATGAAAGTTGTTTCATCTCCAATGTGTCCTTGTGGAGAAGCAGAGCAGGATACTGCACACCTCTTACAGTCATGGAAGATCCATCAGGCACTGATCATGAGAGATAAGATATGGCATTCACCAACAGTTAGTGAGTGAGTGAGTGAGTGTTAACGTTACCACTCAAAGAAAAGCTATGTGGACCAGTGGATGCCCTTAGCACAGAAGACCACCAGATTTGTTGAGGAGACTGGTATTCAAGTGTAAAGGCGAACGATAAGAAAGAAGATGTGTAATTACCACTGAAAACTGGTGCATCAATATATATAATTAAATGAGATTATTAATGTCATTCATAGTGTTTTGTAAGGGGAGGTAACTCTTTGTGAAGTAACATTTTAGCATCATCTCCGGAGTGAGGGGTGATATTTAGCATGGAAATCTTTCATTTTACAATAGAATAGATTGGTTCTGAAATTGTGGTAAAAAAAACAGAAAACAAATTCTCCCATTTATACCATGTCATTGACCTTGTACGCTTTTTTGATTGTTTTCAGGAAAATGCTAAAAAACAATTGTGAAATTTCACGATTTCAAAAAATTCGTAAAAATCCAATTTTGAAGATAACATGGTTCTGATTGCTGTTTTGTAATCAGGTTATGGTAGTCTCTAGGAAAATGTCAAGAAATAAATCACTTTTGGTTTAAAAAAAAATAGTTGGGCATATAGCTACCAAGTGCCTAGTGCTACGACAATCTGTTTTGGAAGGAACTTTTGGACACCATACACACCTTCATGTGAACTCGATTTAGCTTCCAGCCATTTTCGCATTTTCTTCAATGCTCTATCCCTGATTGGTTTGTGGTTTGACGCCAGTCGCTGAGCAAAATGAATCTCTGCAGAATCATTTCTATCCAGTATTGTGGCCATTTCTCCCATCTCCAAACACGTGGATCCGGTTTGGCAGTCTGCGTCAATGAGGCGCTTAAGGACATTCCAATGTTTTGTGTGGTTATCGTTATGACTATTTCGGCAGGTTATAGGACCTATGTGGCCGTTTTCGTTTAAACGGTTAAACCGTCCGGACGGCAATTGTTCGTTTATCAAATAATGTCGGACTTAATAATCTGATGCTGCTTTCAGGCGAGCCTTGACAGAGCCTTGCAAAACCTGCATAAACATTTGCAGGTCCGCCAGGATTTATACCCGAAATTGTTACATTTAAAAACGGACAAAACAAACATCAAACAATATCCTCTTTAGAACAAATGCACTTATCAAATACAAATTAAACAAGGCTTCCTATGTCAAATAATGTAGAAAGTATGAGAAAAATATCATTTTATATAACAAATACCGATCTTCTGTAAACGGTAAACTTGTTTGCATGGGAAGTAACTCAAATACGTATAGTTAATATTACTCGCGTCACTATAACCAGAGACGTATCATATCCAATTAACAGGAAACATCATTATGTTACATACTGTCAGGTAGCAGATGTATACATATCTATGTATATTTAATGTTTTTGTTTTTGTTTGTGTGTTTTGTGGGTGTTTTGGGGTATTTTTGGGTAAATCGTGCTGCCGCCGTTGTTCAGCATAAACGGAACAGGTCCAATACGTGTTTGCTTCGTATACACTCCACGAACACTTAGCTAGCGCGGAAGGTGATATGGTGCATTCGCCTGCATCACATGATCATTTGTTACAACCCCATGATGATAATATTACTCGTGTAATAGGATGAGCAAAAGTGATAAAGATAGTGCCTGCCCCGGGTCTCGAACCCGCGACCCTTGGCTCTCCAGCCCGATGCTCTACCGCTGAGCTAAAGGGAAATTCCCTACAGCTGACGCTTGTAATGCAACCTAATTAATCCACATATTTTACACTCGTATATTATCCTCATTGGGGTGGCATTTTTTCCGAAAATTGCTCTAAACCCTCCAAACGTGTAAAATTACTCTAAACACCTTTGTTTATGTCCAAATATACTGTATCTTTAAAAAAAATCTCAGGTCCCTGTATGTGGTCTGCATATCGAGTAGGCAAAATAATAAAGTCCTACTCAAACTTGTCGTCACTTTCACTCTTGGTTATGTACTGTGTATCTGAGTTTGTGGAGAAACATGTTGCTAGCCCGGTAGTGGGAAGGCCGAGCCTTTTGTCAGAATTCTCTGGGCCTACCAACCATAATTCAAATGCGGACCGTGTTTTTTCCTCGCAGAAAAAAATAATTAAATCATCTTGGTGACTGATTTTCTTATTTTTTGTTTTACCTATTATGAATGATGTTCTTCCACAACATAAATAACTTGCATGGTTTTTTTTCGACAATGCATTGCCTTTCATTAGCATACGCTGTTTCATTTTTTCTTTCTTATTTTTATCTTTCAACATACTCCTATGAATAAGAGCTATCAAACTAAGCACATTTTAAAACGAGTAATAAGAAAAGACATGTCTATAAGTGTAATGAGGAATGCCTCTCTACAGTGTAACCAACCAATCACATATAAGAGCCTGTGATACCAGCTGGTTCGTGATCGCTGTGTCATCTTTCCTGGCAAACGTTTCAGTTGAAATACAAACACATCATATACATATAAAAGTTTATTGTAAAGACTAGATCAGCATTATCAAGACATATATACATCAAAATTAAATAAATTACAAAATATTGAAATGTTTACAGTTGTATAGAAATTTACAAGATGCATAAAAAAAACCGATAATATAATTATAAAAACCTATATAACATTGACCAAACAATAAAATCACATTAAATCACAAAAAGGTTCGCTAAAGTAGAAATGTAAATGTAGATAAGAATAATAATATGATCATATTATATTGCCGGCCAGATCAGGGCTTGTACGACGCGATTTATTAAATTTCTCGTAATTCACTTAGAGTTGCATCACATAAATATATAAAATAAGACTAGGATAAAAAAGTACACTAAGAATAAACGCCAAGAGTAGGCATATGAGTGCATAGGAGGAACTTATCGAAAGTAGCGGCTATCGAATATATTATTTATCTATTCAAAAAAAAAAAAAAAAACAGTTCAGTAAATATGAAAATGTTAATCGACTACGATATATCCCAATACTCAAACAGTTTATTAAGAATACGAAGCTCTTGAGGAAATACAGTTAAGGAGATAGAATAAGTGGAAAATATGGAAATCATTTTCAATTGCATTCAAATAGTTTGAACGCCCGCTACCAGCAGTGGACACATCTTGTGTGTCCATTGTGAGAACGGTGACAACATTCCTCCTACTGGTCATCCACGGACTGCATGGGGGAAGGGTTTGACTTGCTCGACTTCCTTGTCACGTGACCAGTGGAACCGGCAATTTCCCGTTTCGGACAGTCCGACTGGGGTGCGGAGCAGTTTTCCGCGGGCCACTGATGTCCGAGGAGGCCGTAAATATCAGGTCGATCAGTGTAGTCATACCGGAACATCCATAGAATGAGACCCTGACAATCTTCGGATACCGGCTTCTTGAATTTTTTCCATGGGAAGTTCAAATTTCTTTGTTCTTCTAACACCCCTCTGTTTCCTTTACTCTCGTCAAATGGCATTTTACCGGTGACAAGTATGTATAGGATAACACTGATAGCCCAAATGTCAGCCTTGCGCGTGTCATACGGCTGACCCTTGAGGATTTCCGGGGCGGCGTAGGACTTAGAACCACAGTATGTCCGGCTCAGTTCTTGAGACGTCTCCTCTTTCACGAACCCAAAGTCACAGATCTTTATATTGTTCTCCATGTCTAGCAGCAGATTCTCGAGCTTTAGGTCTCGGTGGGTGATGTTCATTTCATGGAGGTATCGGACAGCGTCCCCGATCTGGCGTATCCAATATCCGGCACGGTTCTCACTGACTGCCCCGGTCCTCTGTATAAATCTCAACACATCACCGTTTTCAGCATATTCCAGAATCATGTACAGACGTCGGTTGTCCTCAAAAATTTCCAGATTCTGTACGATATGGGGGTGCTTCAATCGGGGCCATATCGCGACTTCACGAGGGAGAAATCTTTGTTGGAAATCTTTTGGTGCTTTTCCTTTGTCGACAATTTTCACTGCGACTTTCTCCCGATCATGGTCGAAACATCGTGCAAATTTGACTTTAGAATAGCTGCCACTTCCCAGTGTTTGTCGGACAAGATAGCCTTTCTTGGCCAGAACGGCGCGGAACGTGGGGCGGTAGGAGACCGTCTCAATCTTGGAAGACGACGAAGACGACCGGCGAGGTTCAACCGTTTCAACCTCACCCTTCATCAGCTCCAATTCCGCCTGAAGACTTCTCTTTCGAGCGGGGATTGGGTCATCGACGGGCATCTCCAGTTTCTGTCTCTTTATAGCGAGCATTCACGTTTGATATTGCCGGAATCTTATATATGAAACGATATTCTGTTATTCACACAGACAACGCCATTAGCCATTTCTTTGGTAACGATGGTTGCATTGCCTATCTACAATATCAGATTGAGGCATAATGGGGGACTGTTGATGACGTCACTGTAACCATGACGTCACCATACATCTTTCATAACTCTTCCGATTTACACGTTACATATTACATTCGTGTACGTTGGTTCGCCGATTTTGATTCTTTGCAAAAATGATATAAAGGTAAAAGGATTATGTTTGATTTTGTTTTAAAGTGATTTAAAATTATCTGAACGTTTCTGCGTGTCAGCAACCCCTAAAATAAGGGTCAGGACTGTAAAACTAAACCCAGATTGGATAAAATTTGGACTTTGCTGATTTGTTAATGGGTAGAGGGATTTCGAATGTATGGTTCTGTTTAAGAAGACTGGAACATTAAAATAGATACTGAAGCTCGTCAACAACAACAGAAAGCACAATCGACAAATTATAACTTGCCGTGATTGACCTTTTAGTGTGGCGGGGTCTGGTTTAACCACGGGGAGAAGTGGTTGGACAGGTTACCCCAATACCTTAAACTCCTGTCGTGTCGGTTGTCTGACTGCGAGGGAAATCACGAGGATAAATAATCGGACAGGTTACCCCCATACCTTACACGACTTGTCGTGGCGGGGGTATGACTGAGGGAGGAAACCACGGGGAGAAGTGGTTGGACAGGTAATTCCCATATCTTAAACGTCCTGTCGTTCCGGTTGTCTGACTGCGAGGGAAATCACGAGGAGAACTGGTTGGACAGGTAACCCCTATACCTTACACGTCTTATCGTGGTTGGGGTCTGAATGAGTAAGGAAACCATGAGGAAAAGTGGTTGGACAGGTATATATATATACGTAACTCCCATACCTTACACGTCCTGTCGTGGCGGGGTCTGATTATGAGGGAAACCAAGAGGAGATGTGGTCGGACAGGTATACATATACGTAATCCTCATACCTTACACGTCTTGTCGTGGCGGGGGCTGACTATGAGGAAAACCATGAGGAGGAATGGTCGGACAGGTTACCCCCCTACCGTACACGTCTAGTCGTGGTGGGGGTCTGACTGAGGGAAGAAACCACGAGGAGAAGTGGTTGGACAGGTTACCCCCATACCTTATACGTCCTGTCGTGGTGGGGTTTGACTGTGAGGGAAACCACGAGGAGAAGTGGTTGGGCAGGTAACACGTCTTGTCGTGGCGGGGTCTGACTGTGAAGGAAACCAAGGGCAGAAGTGGTTGGACAGGTATATATTATACGTAATCCTCATACCCTAGAGGAAGGAAACCACGAGGAGAAGTGGTTGGGCAGGTCATCCCCCTTCCTTGCACGTCCTGTCGTGGCGGGTGTCTGAATGGGAGGGAAACCACAAGAAGGGGTTGGACAGGTATATATATACGTAATCCCCATACCCTACACGTCCTGTCGTGGCGGTTGTCTGAATGGGAGGGAAACCACGAGGAAAAGTGGTTGGACAGGTAATCCCCATACCTTACACTTCTTGTCGTGGCGGGGTCTGACTATGAGGAAAACCATGAGGAGAAATGGTCGGACAGGTTACCCCCACACCTTACACTTCTTTTCGTGGCGGGGGTCTGACTGAGGAAGGAAACCACGAGGGGAAGTGGTTGGACAGGTTACCCCCATACCTTATACGTCCTTTCGTGGCGGGGTCTGACTGTTTGGGAAACCACCAGTAGAAGTGGTTGGGGAGGTCATCCCCATTCCTTGCACGTCCTGTCGTGGCGGTTGTCTAAATGGGAGGGAAACCACAAGAAGTGGTTGGACAGGTATATATTATACGTAATCCTCATACCCTAGAGGAAGGAAACCACGAGGAGAAGTGGTTGGGCAGGTAACCCGTCTTGTCGTGGCGGGGTCTGACTGTGAGGAAATCCATGAGGAGGAATGGTCGGACAGGTTACCCCCCTGCCGTACACGTCTAGTCGTGGTGGGGGTCTGACTGAGGGAAGGAACCACGAGGAGAAGTGGTTGGACAGGTTAACCCCATACCTTATACGTCCTGTCGTGGTGGGGTTTGCCTGTGAGGGAAACCACGAGGAGAAGGGGTTGGGCAGGTAACACGTCTTGTCGTGGCGGGGTCTGACTATTAGGAAAACCATGAGGAGAAATGGTCGGACAGGTTATCCCCATACCATACACGTCCTGTCGTGGTGGGGTCTTACTGTGAGGAAAACCATAAGGAGAAACGGTCGGACAGGTTACCACCATTCCTTACATTTCTTTTCGTGGTGGGGGGCTGACTGAGGAAGGAAACCACGAGGAGAGGTGGTTGGACAGGTTACCCCCATACCTTATACGTCCTTTCGTGGCGGGGGCTGACTGTTAGGGAAACCACGAGTAGAAGTGGTTGGGCAGGTCATCCCCCTTCCTTGCACGTCCTGTCGTGGCGGTTGTCTGAATGGGAGGGAAACCACAAGAAGTGGTTGGACAGGTATATATATACGTAATCCCCATACCCTACACGTCCTGTCGTGGCGGTTGAGTGACTGCCAGGAAAGCCACGAGGAGAAGTGGTTGGACAGTTAATCCCGTTACCTTACACGTCTTGTCGTGGCGGGGTCTGACTGTGAGGAAAACCATGAGGAGGAATGGTCGGACAGGTTACCACCTTACCCTACACGTCCTGTCGTGGTGGGGGTCTGACTGCGAGGGAAACCACGAGGAGAAGTGGTCGGACAAGTAATCCCCATTCCTTGCACGTCCTGTAATGGCGGGGTCTCACTATGAGGGAAACCACGAGAAAAAGTGGTTGGGCAGGTATATATATACTTAATCCCCATAACCTACACGTCCTGTCGTGGCGGTTGTCTGACTGCGAGGAAAGCCACAAGGAGAAGTGGTTGGACAGTTAATCCCGTTACCTTACACCTCTTGTCGTGGCAGGGTCTGACTGTGAGGAAAACCATCAGGAGAAGTGGTTGGGCATGTAATCCCCATACCTTACACGTCTTGTCGTGTCGGGGTCTCCCTGTGAGGGAAATCATGAGGAAAAGTGGTTGGACAGGTTTGTATATACTTCATCCCCATAACTTACACGTCCTGTCGTGGCAGAGACTGACTGTGAGGAAAGCCACAAGGAGAAATGGGCGGACAGGTTACCACCATACCCTACACGTCCTGTCGTTGTGGGGGTCTGACTGCGAGAAAAACCACGAGGAGAAGTGGTTGGACAGATATATTTATACACAATCCTCATACCTTTCACGTCCTGTCCTGGTGGGGTCTGACTGAGGGAAGCCACGAGGAGAAGTGGTTGGGCACGTCATCCCCATTCCTTGCACGTCCTGTCGTGGCGGGTGTCGAACTGCGGGGGAAACCACGAGGAGAAGTGGTTGGACAGATACTATGAGGAAAACCATGAGGAGGAATGGTCGGACAGGTTACCACCTTACCCTACACGTCCTGTCGTGGTGGGGGTCTGACTGCGAGGGAAACCACGAGGAGAAGTGGCTGGACAGATATATTTATACATAATCCCCATTCCTTTCACGTCCTGTCCTGGTGGGGTCTGACTGAGGGAAGCCACGAGGAGAAGTGGTTGGGCACGTCATCCCCATTCCTTGCACGTCCTGTCGTGGCGGTTGTCTGACTGCGAGGGAAACCACGAGGAGAAGTGGTTGGACAGGTATATAGTATACGTAATCCCCATACCCTACACGTCGTCTTGTCATGGCGGGTTTGACTGTGAAGGAAACCACGAGGAAAAGTGGTTGTGCAGGTAATCCCCATACCTTACACGTCTTGTCGTGGTGGGGTCTGACTGAGGGAGGAAACCACGAGGAGAAGTGTTTGGACAGGTTACCCCCATACCTTACACGTCCTGTCGTGGTGGGGGTCTAACTGAGGGAGGAAACCACGAGGAGAAGTGTTTGGACAGGTTACCCCCATACCATACACGTCCTGTCGTGGTGGGGGTCTGACTGAGGGAGGAAACCACGAGGAAAAGTGGTTGGGCAGGTAACCCCCATACCTTACACGTCCTGTCGTGGCGGGGTCTGACTGTGAAGGAAACCAAGGGCAGAAGGGGTTGGACAGGTATATATTATACGTAATCCTCATACCCTACACGTCTTGTCGTGGCGGGGTCTGACTGTGAAGGAAACCACCAGGAAAAGTGGTTGGACAGGTTACCCCCATACCTTATACGTCCTTTCGTGGCGGGGTCTGACTGTGAGGGAAACCACCAGAAGAAGTGGTTGGGCAGGTTTCCCATACCTTACACGTCCTGTCGTGGCGGGGTCTGACTGTTAGGGAAACCACGAGGAGAAGTGGTTGGACAGGTATATATTATACGTAATCCTCATACCCTACACGTCTTGTCGTGGCGGGGTCTGACTATGAAGGAAACCACGAGGAAAAGTGGTTGGACAGGTTACCCCCATACCTTATACGTCCTTTCGTGGCGGGGTCTGACTGTGAGGGAAACCACCAGAAGAAGTGGTTGGGCAGGTTTCCCATACCTTACACGTCCTGTCGTGGCGGGGTCTGACTGTTAGGGAAACCACGAGGAGAAGTGGTTGGACAGGTATATATTATACGTAATCCTCATACCCTACACGTCTTGTCGTGGCGGGGTCTGACTATGAAGGAAACCACGAGGAAAAGTGGTTGGGCAGGTAATCCCCATACCTTATACGTCCTGTCGTGGCGGGGTCTGACTGTGAAGGAAACCACGAGGAAAAGTGGTTGGGCAGGTAATCCCCATACCCTACACGTCTTGTCGTGGCGGGGTCTGACTGTGAAGGAAACCACGAGGAAAAGTGGTCGGACAGGTTACCCCCATACCTTACACGTCCTGTCGTGGTGTGGACTGACTGTAAGGGAAACTACGAGGAGAAGTGGTTGGACAGGTTACCCCCATATCTTATACGTCCTGTCGTGGTGTGGTCTGACTGTAAGGGAAACTACGAGGAGAAGTGGTCGGACAGGTTACCCCCATACCTTACACGTCCTGTCGTGGTGTGGTCTGACTGTAAGGGAAACTACGAGGAGAAGTGGTCGGACAGGTTACCCCCATACCTTACACGTCCTGTCGTGGCGGGGTCTGACTGTGAA